ACTGAGTGATGTGCAAAGGTGTTACCTGTGGCCAAAAGTGAACAGGATATTGATAACAACTGGCAAGTCCAGCACCATTAGGAGAGTCCTGGAAGTTAGGACACATACACATTGAGGGTAAGAAAGGTAAATATTAAGGCGTAACAGGAAAAGATTTGATGAATCTGACTCTCATGAATAAGAACACGGCATTGGAGAGATTCTTAACAGGTAAAACAACTGATGCAAAATTCTTACTTGGAGAACATATGGTACATTTGAAGTTTAGAGGAGAAGACGATTTTTTGAAACCTAATTCCAGGAAAGGAGTTACAAATCATTGTATTGGCCATCATCTGGGTATGCAGCATTGCAAAGCATGAAAAAGTTGTTCAGGAGAAGGGTGGGATATTTTTCTACCCGCCTTAGTTCACATAAGGAGTCACACAAGTATCATCATGCAGTCATCCGTTGTTATCTTTAATGGGCTGGTTCCAAAAATCCTCTATATTGTATTCTATGGAAATTCAAATTATATGCTTTACATGACACAGTGTATTCACATAACCTGTGTAGTTTAATTCCCTTAAAAGCATCTTTACATTAATTATAATACCCAGTGTACACAGTGGGGGCCTGAAAAGTATCCTTAACCCAACGTATTCATTCTAATAAAATAAACAGTGATCCACAGTAGTCTCTAGCTCAATAATAAACACTAAGTCACTGGCAAGTAACCTATCTCAGATGGACAAAAAGAATATAATTGGAGATCCCCAACTGGTCAACAACTCTCCAAGCACTAGCCTTTCCTGCATGGACCGTCTTCTTCCAATTACTTCAAAGGCAGTATTGCCAAAGCTGATCTGCTTTGTTAACATGACCATCTTTAATCTGCCTGCCCTTTTATTGAACTGCTTTACCCCAGCCCAGCCCCTTTATGTGGGGCTTGAAAACTTATTCTTCACTCTCTTCTGCCTCCCTCCACTCTATACTGCTCAGTGCCTCAGTGTCACTACAGTGTTCAGGGTGGGAGAGAAAATCTCTCCTGAAAGGAGGAGTAAATGGATGGTGACCAAAATGTGAGTTTGAGGGTGGAAGGTGGGAACGGCACTCACCCAGGAAAGGGATCCGGCTCTTGTCAAGTAGAGGATCAATCACATTCATCCACTGGCCCCACATAGGCGGGACTGCATGAGTGCCAGACACAGACACAGACAGCATGGCTGGCATCATTTTATGTATTTGGGGGATTTTTCCACTCCCTGTTTTTATACCTTGGAGGCCTCAACAATGAATGCCCTCCAGGGGGAACTATAACAAGCTAAATTTTTGTTTTAGCCAAACACATAATGATGCTTAGTACTGTTGAAATATTTTGAAATTTCTTAAAACGTTTTAGAGTGTAATCTCCATAGATAAATATGGTACCAATTGTTCTTTTATTTTAACAAATGTATTTTAAGCATTCAGGAGCAATTGTTATTGTTGCCAGCATTTCACAGAGTTCAAATTAATCCGAAGCATTTCACATTATGTCTCAGTACATGGGAAAGAATTGAGTCTTGGGGTGTGAGGTTTGGAGTTTAGTCCAATCCCACGCTTAAGAGGAATAAAGGAGAGGAAATAATCAGTGACTTTTAACTCTCCAGCATTTCTTGCAGCACTAGTGTGTATGCAACCTGGATCTGGTCTGCTCCTGTTTCATTCCTGCAGCAGTGCCCTCCCTCACCGTCTAATACAGATCATTTTTACATTATAGTTCTCTTTGCCATACTCAAACTCATCTTCTCTTCTAGTCTCCAACAAATGCCTTGCCTTTTCCTCATCTCTCCCTGCAGAATCCAGACTTATATAGAGTCCTAACAGTGAACATTTTCTGCCCACTTGTTTTCAACACTATAAAGCCACACAAAAGTTGAGAGCATCTTCTTAATAAGGACAATCATACTGTAAGTAACTCCTAATGGTGGCTTTAGGAATTTAAGGAAGTTGTGTGATATTTCCTACTTTATTAGTAAAGTTTCCCCACAGATTTAAGTCTGTCAAGGTCCAAGAAGGAGTTGGCTGAAAATTAAAATGGGTTGATATTTCTTGTTCTGACAGCTCTCAATCAGACAGGACCTCTAGGTGACAGAGCTCACAGAGAACTTCTCAAAGCACCTTCTTCCCCCTGCATAGGAAGACCAGGTTTGCTACCCAGAAGGTCTCCATTTGCCATGCATTGCTAATCCAAAAAATGTCTTCCTTGAAGTCCAACTGTAGTCTCATCTCCAGGAAACTGCCCATCCAACTTCTGGGAATAGACAACGTTCCTTTCCTCTACACAGCCACAGCAATCTGTAGACACTGAATGTTGGCAATTCTAGTTTTTATTTCCATTCCACACACTAAGCTCTGAAGTGTAATATTTAATATGGAGTTGATATTCATACCTGAATATCCCACAGGACCTGCCAAAAACCCAAAACAGAATGCATCAATTTTTCTCCTTTTTTTTCAAAAAGTTCATACACAGCCACAGCGTGCATGCACACGTGTGGACACACACACACATACACACCACATAGAATCATCAAGAAAAGGTGAAAAGTTCTTCTATGGGTATAGACTTAATGCTATGGATAGTTTGATTTGGTTCTTAAGACAGTGGAGAAGATGACTGCTTCAAGTCTCACAAGCACCTGGATCCTGAACTACTGGACAGAGCAGCCTTGTATTGGATGGAGAGGCCAACACATTAGATTTCGCAAGGGTGACAATGACAGCAGATTTTTGAAAGCTGAAGAGAAAACACTGTAGTGTAGTCAGTTTAATGCACCTCAGACATTCATTTCTAGCACTTTTTACAAGCTGTGTATTTGTTTTAAAAACTTAGAGCACACAGGGAAAATCATCAAGCATACTAGTGTAAATGGAGTACAAACGAAAGTCCTTCTCCATTGCCTACAGCCCTTGGCCCTCGGCCCTCATCAGCCCCATTCACAAAGAGAGTCATTGTCTACAGTGAGGAAGTTACTCTCCAGGACTCCCTCCCTCAGGGTCTGTTACATTACTAAAACTTACTAAAGGGCACACAATTTCATGTGATACAAAACCTTCTTCTTTTAGATCAAACATACACTCTTTCTTAAAATTATGAAACATAATTACTTACACTGACACAGAAGAGTTAAAAAATATTCTCTTTAGGACAAGAATAAGCAAAAACAAACACTTTCTCATACTTTACAATCTGTCATTATTATTACTATTATTACTCTGTGTAAGGAGCTCCCGGTCTTGAAATGTTATAGGATGTTGTGCTCTGGTGTTCTGTGCCATCTTTTACCTGTTAAATACTCTCCTTATAATCATTTGCAAGCAGGAAACACTTCTTTGATGCACACTTCAGGCAGTGTTGCCTATTTGAGAGGTAATGATGTTGCAATTTAATCAGAAGACCAAGAGAGGTTCTTCTGTGGTGTTTAACACAGTCTGCTTGCACCGAATTAGAATAGAGCTGCTCTTTCTGATTTTCTTATTCTTTTTTATTTTAAAAACAACACAAAGAAGATATCAATGATACAGAATTTTAAAACTATAGTAGGAGATTAGTACTAGTTAATATTTTGCATAGTGTTATCTTGGAAGTAGTCATTCAGGTTGCAAGATTTAGGCATAAGAAAGTTAAACAGTGAAAGTAGAAACTGGGCTTTGTGATGAGCTTACACAAGTTAGTAGTAGAGCTGTCTATCATGTATATGTGCACATACACATCTACACATGTACACCTGTATACAGATAATCATTTCCCTCCATCCTTTTCTCCTTTCCCCATCCCAGGTGTACATAAGCTTCCCTTTTAAATTTATTAGTACATCTTTCCTAAGTTTCTCTTTTTAAATATTATTCTCTATGTTTTTATGCCATCATAATATTGAGCCTTTAGGATATTTTGAAAACATCAGTAGTTTCACTTATATCATAGGCAGACAACAAATTGTTTTGTAGGTCTTGCTTTCTCGTATACAAGACATTATTTGGATAACCATTATATAATCAGCACCCTGCTTGTTATCTGGTGGTGTCTTGTAGGATATGCACCCTGTCTTTAAGGAATTTATGGTCTACACAATGAGAGCAGAGGTAAGCTGCAACTGACACAGAAATCACTGTGGTAGTGCTTTATTTATTTATTTATTTTTGTACCAGTAGTCAAACTCCCAACCTTAAGCATGTGAGGCAGGCAGTGTGCCGCTGAGCCATATTCCTGGCCCTATGGAAGTGTCTTACTGGGTGATCCACAATCTTTCTGAGAAAGTTAAGATCAGTGACTCTAAGTAAAAGGATACATGAGTCACCAGAGAGACACAGTGGTTAAGAAATAAAGATTGAGAGATGAGGTAAGAAAGAAGAGAGTATCCCATACCTGGCAAAGGTCAGATGGGAAACAGTGATGATCAGAAAGGGGTGTTAGCTGGGAAGCAGACACTGGCTGGGAGCCAGAGTACTGTGATCTGCCCCAAAGGAGGTGCCAACAAGACACTCTGGTGCGTATCAATATCTTGCTTCTAGAGAATTTCAAACTCTGTTTTAACTTTACACTCCAAAATTAATGTCTAAAAGTGCAATATTTAATTAATCAGACCCCATATATTATTACAAATATAGTTTATTTTAAGGAAAGCTACACTTTTGTTTTCATCAACATTTTAAATACATCAATTGGGAATCATTAAAGAAAAAACAGTGCCTCTCCTGTTTCTTGGCTCACATTATAATTTTCTCTCATTTGCTTTGAATATGTTTTCTACCAGCATCTGAGATACTATTTTATGTCGGCTTTAAAGATTAAAAGATTAAAAAATGTCGGTTTTAAAGATCTTTGACCCAAGTTATACCATACTCTGACCCATGATAGCTTCTTTGTTCTCACACTTAAGTCACACCCATGAACTTTACTTAGGTCGACACCTAGGCTTTCACCTTGAGAATTTCAGGGGGTTCTCTGGAGTAATGCACACTTTGATACTTCTCTGTCAGCCCTTCCTCCCTGTCAGCACCCTCTTCAGGGCGCTCTCTACATCGGGGTTCCAGAGACTGTAGATGATGGGGTTCAGCATGGGATTGAGAACAAAGACTGCATTAAAGACTGCAATCCCTTTGTCCTTATCTAGGGCTGAGATTGAGCCCAGGCGCATGTAACTGAAGAAGCCCGTTCCATAAAAAAAGCAAACCACAGTGAGGTGGGAGCCACACGTGGAGAAGGCCTTCTTCCTCCCCTCAGTGGAGCAGATCCACAGTACCACAGCAGCGATGTGGGCATAGGACACTGAGATGAGGATCATGGGGATCACTCGCATGAAAGTGGCCCCCACAAACAGCAGTTGCCCACTGAGGTGGATACTGGAGAAGGAGAGCTGGCACAGAGGTGGGAGGTCGCAGTAGAAGTTGGTGATCACATTTGGGCAGCAGAAGTCTAGCACAGACACAGCCAATGTGTGAGTCAGAGCATTGAAGAAGGAGACAGTGCAGCAGGTACCCACCAGGGCACCCTGTACCTCACGGCTCGTGTGGGTGCTGTAGGAGAAGGGCTGGCAGATGGCCAGATAGCGGTCATAGGCCATGGCTGTCAAGAGGTGACGGTCTACACCAGCCAAAAGTTGGAAAAAGAAGAGCTTTGAAAGGCAGGAACCATAGGGAACTCTGCACTGGTGGGCCAGGAGACACAACAGCATTGGAGGAACCATGACCGTGATGCACCCGATGTCCAGCAGAGACAGGATCCCCAGGAAGTAGTACATGAGGGTGTGGAGTTTGGGCTCCACAAAGATGGTAGAGATGATGCTCAAGTTGCCCCCTAAGGTGACTACATAGGCACAGAAAAACACAACATACACAATAGATTGCAGATCAACACTCTCTGTCAGGCCAAGGAGAGTGAACTTGGTGACAGCTCTCCTGTTGCTGCTGGTGCTTGCTTCCAATAGGGCAGAGCTGGGCATGGTGAAGAGGGGAAGACACAAGGCTGCAAAAGAGAGAGAGTGATACATGGTAGGTACATACTGAAATTTGTGTGTTGGATCCCGAGATGACATGGTTAGGACACCTGCCAATCAGAGGAGATACCAGTGAGTTTGTACAGACTCTTGAGGACTTCAAGAGAGCCAGATGCTAACTGTTTAGTTACTGGTTAAGGAAGAAATCCAGGGAATACCAGGGAGGGGGTAAGGCAGAAGGAAATTTTCCAGGAATCCAAAACAGCAACTAATTACAAACGTGGTATAGGACTTCAGTCTTTCACCAAGTACTATATGCTAACTGTGGCTATTCAGAGACTGAACAGTGGCTGGCACTCTATGAATACAAGAATATGTAAAGTTCTAGAAAGACACCACTCAAAGAGTAGCAATATAAAGGAGAAAAGGAGGGCAGGTCTCATAAAATCCAAACAGATATTAAAGATATCGAGTGAGAAGGGGAGCAGGCTGCAAACCAAAGCACAAAAACACACAGAAGCTAAAAATTAAAGAAACGAAGTTATTTTTAAAGCAACATTTTAAGTGTCTACTCTAGTTATTACATTATGTTCAGTTTTTTTTCAGTTATGTCTCATACACTGCATTTATGTCTGTGTAATCAAGACACCTAGATTTAGGAAGGTTAAAAAAGACCTTGAAGTCAACAAGTTTTAAAATCTGTTTTATCGGAGAGAAAAAAAATGGCAGCTTGCTAGGGGATCAAGCGAAGAGTCTCTCCAGAGAAATCATACTAGAAGCTAGAAAATGACAACATGGAGAGGGCCAGACAAATTGATAGTGATTCTTATTAACCAAGACAGTGCAGCTGGAGGATTTAAAGTCGTGCTGAGACCGTGAACGCTGATAACGGGAGGCTGCAAATCCCGTGCCTTTAAATCAACAAACTGACCCGTGGACCCAGCAGGAAAAGCTGTGTTGCTTTTGGTGACTGCGGGAAACTGAGACCCAGGACTCCGAGTAGCAGCCAGGACTGCACCGCTGCACCAGAGGAGATGTACAAGGCTCTGGAGTTTCAAATTTAAATGGTGCGCAGATATCTGACTGTTCTCCGCTGTGCCAGGAGTGCGGGAAAGGTGGGCAGCTTGGTGTGCAGTGGTCCCAGAATGAGGACCTGCGCCGGACTCTGGTGAGTACTGGGAACGCCACGGCTGCTGGGGTTGGCCAGAGAACAACTGGCCCACCACCACGGGGAAATCAATAACACAGAGTCTGGCGGCAGACATTTTAGTCTGGCGGCAGAAACTACAGCTCGGTGAGATCACCAGGTCCCCCTGTAGGGAGGGCTGGTGGAAGACATCTTGAAATCTGGCAGAGCCTGATTACTTGCTGGCTTCAGCTCCACACAGAGAACTTAGTGGGAGACATCTTGGTTTTGGGCAGATCTGCTATTCTGGTGCTCCTGTCACAGAGAGGTTTGGAAGAGAACGGCTGGGATTTGGGCAGAACCCTGTGCCATAGTGACATTAATCAGCTGCTTCTGGTACAAAGAGAACTGGCAGGAGCTACTGGGGCTAAACCAAGCCTCTGCTTGGGGCCCAATAAGCGGATACAAAATAGTCACAACTCAGTGACAACCAGAAAGTACAGCCTAATTCATGAATTAACTGGCACAGAGGCTAGAGACTAGCCTGTACCGCCCCTGCATCCCAGCCTACCCCAGATAACAGTAAATTGGGGAGGACAGCAAAAACTCAAGCCAGCACACTTCTGAAAGGCCCTAAGCAATTCGGAGAGGGCCAGAGAACCCCAGGACAGTCTGAAAGAAACCAGAAACATGACAAGAGATAAAAATAAAAAAAAAAGTCTCCAGCTGCCCAACAGGAGAAAATAAGCCCAGGAGAACTAAACACTGAAGAGAACAAGCACAGTAACCATCCATTACTCGACACCACATCAGCCAAAATTAAAAAGTACCTACATGATCTCATAGAGGAATTTAAAGCTGTACTCCTGATCCAAGTGAGGCAAGATATAAAGAGATTAATTAAAGAAATGACAAGCCCCGCCCAAGAGAACACAGATGGAAGAACTGAGGAAATCAGAAAAGAAAGAGAAACATCTGAAGAAGAATTTAAACATAACTTAGAATACATGAAACAGATCCAAAGAGAATATCAGGAAACTAAAAACTCCATTGAACACTGGCAAAATGCCTTGACAGAAACTAAAGACAGCCTTCTGAAACTTGAAGAGAGATTTAGGGCATATGAACGTGAAAGAAAAAGCCTCTTAAAAATAACAAGGAACCAGAAAGAAGCAATTCAAAAACTGGAGGATGACAAAAAGATACATAACCTAAGAATAAAGAATGTGAGTGAGGAAACAGGAGCAACCAAAAATGAAATACAAAAAATATTCACAGATATATTAAAGCAAAATTTCCCATGTATAGCAAAAAGAAATGATATCCAGATATAAGAGGCATACAGAATACCAGCTACCTACAACCAAAACAGATCTACGCCTAGACATATAATAATCAAGATCCCAGAAATCCACCAAAAGAACAGAATATTAAAAGCAGCCAGAGAAAAGATGCAGATTACCTATAACGGGAAAACTATCAAAATAACAGCAGACTTATCAACACAAACTCTTAAGTCAAGAAAGGAGGGGGGAGAAATATTCCAAGTCCTGAAAGAAAAAAATATGCAACCAAAGTTCATATACCCATCAAAACTCTCTCTAAAAATTAATGAAGAAATAAGATACTTTTCAAGACAAGGAGGAACTGTGGGAGTTCGTGGCCACCAATCCAACCCTACAGAGACCACTGAAGGACATTATAGAGAAAGAGAGGAAGAGATACCAGGATTCCAGCAACAGTGGAAGAGAGGCGTCAGTGAACGGGGCAGACAATGGAATGAGGGAATAAGGTGGACAAATTATAGCAGAAAAGTGGAGTAGCAGAATGAGGCAGAGATGGTAAGCTATAGTCTTTAGTTAAGACAGCTCTGAAACTATATTTTTAAAAAAGCAGAGGTCATTGCTAATGGTGTATAACGATTTAAAAGACACAGTAGTCCTAGTGCCATATTTAGATTGAATTTAATTTGTTCTGGTCTGTCCACTCATGTCAGATTTGAGGACAAAGACCTCTAGAACCAAAAATAGCAGGTTATACCATGGTAACTATCCTTACTTTCCTAGTAACTTAAACTGAAATCCTGTATTACTTACATTGTCTTACTATGACTGATCTTAATTGTATCTGAATCATAAGACTATTGGTTGGCCTTGGCTGATTCTATTTGAAATTGGTATGCTTGTTAGCATCAACCCTAAAAGTAGAGGCAACTACTCTGAGCATGACAAGATGTAAAGGATATCCATACTGATATGAATTAGTAACAGCTCTCAAATCCTACAATGCTGTCAAAGTTAAGTTCTTATAAAAATATGTGATACTATGTTTAACTATAATAAGCCAGTGTTGTGGACAAATCTATTGAAAATAACAAGAGAAAACATAGTAGCTACGGAAGATCATTTATATTGTAGTCTTATATGTCTTATCCATTGCATGTTTTTCTAGGAAATTGTTTTGCTGTCTTGCTATGACTTGGTTTTCCCTATAATACAGAGAGGATAGATATATAGGTAGAAATTCACACATGGGTTTTTTTTTTAAATTATTTATGGGAACAGATTATATAATGCAAGATGTAAGGAACAGATACTCTGAGGAAGAGACGCTGAGAAACCCGAGGCTTATTTTGTAGCATTATAATATAAATTCTAGCAATCTATTGTTCGCTGATTAGAATGACATTGGACTGGTTTCTCGAGTTCAACTTCAGCATATGTAGAGATGGGGACGGCTATCACAAAGAGAATGAGAGATGCGATGGTAGTTACTATTGTCTTCCCTAATTTGGAACTTGAGGACCTAAAAAGACTTCATCATCCTGTAATGATTTGATTAGTTCTATAATATGCAATAAGTATATAAAGCGGGTGAAGATAGGGACAACTATTTGTAAGAAACTAGAGACAGTTAGATAATGAAGATCTCCAGTGGACTTGCTTTGAAATCTGTATTTCTTTAAATTGTTTTTTTAAATGTTCTGTTCTGTTTTGATATGTTTAATCTTACCCTCTTTGAGATGTAAAACAAATGTGTAGGACTGATAATCATATTACTGAGCTTTTGTTCGATCATAGAGCAGAATGGTTTGTAGGGTCACTTTTTGAATGTCATTCTAAATACTTTAATTCTATAACCTGAACAGCTATTTCTAAGATGACAATGTGTAACTTATCAACAGGCAATTTCTTACCTTTTGTTTTTCTGTAATTTTGTATTATTTCTACCCTTTTTTTTATCTCCATGTATTTTTTGTTTCTTTTTCTTTAAATAAAAAAAATCTGTTGTATCTTAAATCCAGAATTATTTAACTGTAGACCCACACTTAAAGCTATATTGCTTGGACTTGTGTCATTATTAAGATTTATGATAATATTTTTTGTAATAAAGAGAATAATGCTGTTTCTAAGAGTTTAGTTTTAGTATTTCTACAACTGTTCAAGGAAGTTAACATCCCACCCATTTATGTTTCACTCAGTTATTACTTGTTTAATGTCAGAGTTCTGGTGTATTTTGCTGATGGAACTACAGGACTGGATAATAGGTATTAGCAAAACAGACAGTGCAAGGATGGTGTCAAGGTCACTGAACTGAGCTGCAAGGACGATGGTGTTGTTAGGAAATGTTTTGGGAAATCCTGATTCTTGTGTGTGTGAATTTCGGAGACAATCAGAAAGTGGGCATGCAGGTTCCAGAGAACCCCATACCCAGAGAACTTTAGGTGACTTTCTTAATGTCACAATAATTCCTAAGGGTGCCTGCCAAGTTGAGATCAACAAACTCTTCACAGACTTGAGTCTCAAATTCAGGCGATCAAGTCTAAAGCCATAGTTTAACTCCATATTCCTTGGATATGAGTTATTATCCAGCTTTATAAGAAACATTGTGTGTAATGAAGGGAGTAAAGTTATTTCTATCACTTGAAATATTGTTGTTTAAGAAGGCAGTGATTCTTCAGCTGTGACTGGAGAACAAAGTTCTGGAAGGGACCTTTGAGTCCTTTTTTTTCTGTGATCCTTGTACATCCTGGGCCTCTCACTCTCCGTGTTTGAGCTGGTCCTTTTTCCCATCCAGAGCAGGATCTTGTACACATGAACAATCTATGTCACAAACTCATTCCTATATCACCCTCACGTCTCCTCAAGGAAGTTCTCCTCTGTAGCTTATCAATGAATTGAGCCTTTCCTCCTGCAGCATCATAAACAAGTAATAGTTGGAATGATTTCTGAATGTTCTTGTGGAGAGGGAGACAGAAACCTGAAGCATTACGGAGTAGCTTGCCTTGGTCAAGTAAGAGCCATTTAAATTAATCAAGATAAAATGCACAGATGACTCTAAATAGGCTATGCAGCTATACTCACTGGATGCAACACTTCTAATCTGTACATTTGTATAAAAACTGTTGTCAGATACATAAAAGTGAAGGTCAAAATATTAACTTGTTTAAGGTCCGTGTGTCAGTGTTTGTTTTGAATAGAAAACTTCTTTTTTGGCCAAACCGTACTGTGTCTCGAGGTCCTTGCCATAAACATGACCATGTATGTATATAAATACTTATGAATTTTCTCTCTGTTCATTCCCATAGCTCAAGTGGTGAACCTCGTCATGATATTTCAGTACTACTTCTTGAATCCAGCATCATTTACTCTTCTGTTTTCCTGTGGACAAGGAAAACTCCTTAGAGATCCTGAAGGACCTTCACCAGCCTTGCTCTAGGAGGAAGGAAGGTAGGAAGAATAGAGGGTGAGGAGGTCTGTGGGGCACTTACCTTTCTGCTGCACCCTGCAGAAACAGGAGTGGCTGCTAGGCTGATCCAAGACAGCCTGAGGCCAGAAAATTTGCAAAGAGAGTGAGACAGCAGCAAAGAGAATCTCTCCTGGTTCTCTCTCTTTAAGGTGCCAATTAGGACCAAACTTCCCCAGGCTTACACTAGAAGCAAGAGGCAGACAAACAATCTCAATCCTTAGGGGGTTCTCATCTGCCTACTCTTTTTGATTTTTAGGAAGCAAAGATTTAAGACATCACTGCAGGCTCCTAAGGTCTACAATGAGAAGAGATGCAGTCACCAGATTGCATACTGGAAAAATAAGGTCTGGAGTGTTAGTGGCTTGCAGAGTCCGGAGAATGGGTCCACAACTGGATTTTCAGGATGAGCCCCAGCTAATATGAGATTATGATTTTTTTCTTATTTATTTTTTCAGATTTTCAAAGTATGTTCTTTAAAAATTGTTTAACTGGGGCTGGGGATTTAGCTCAGTGGCATAAGCACCTGCCTTGTAAGCAAGCAGTTGTGAGTTCGATCCCCGGTACCCATAAAAAGGAAAAAGACAAAAGAAAAGGGCTGTGGATTTAGCTCAGTGGCATAAGCACCTGTCTTGCAAGCCTATGGTCATGAGTTCGACCCCTGGTACCGGTAAAAAAAAAAATACAAAAAAAAAAAGAAAAAGGAATGTTGAGACCAAAAATCGTTTAACTATAAAGTTACATGTTTTTCATAGAATATCTAGTGGTGGATCCAGCATCTCTAGAGAACATTTTTGTGGTTCCCAGCATAGGCCTGACGGTCTCTTGCAGTCAATTCCTTTCCCACACCTTGGTCCACAGCAACCTCTCATGCGACTTCCTTCCTTATGGGTTACTGAGTCAAAGTGTCAAGAGTGGAAATAGACAGTACACAGATTTTTTATAATTGGGTAAATTAAATTGGCAAGTCTTGCAGATTCCTTTCTTATAAAGCAATCCCCCTTTCTTGTGGGAGATATGCTCAAAGATCCCCACTCGGTATCTATACTATTTTAGCACCAACCCTGATGTATATGGAACAGAAAATACAGCAGAGCAAATTCACTCATGTCAGGAAGCAAAGAAAAAGAGAAAGATGCGAGGATCCCACAGTATTTGAGGCCCCTCACCAGTGACCTAAGGACCTCCCGCTACACATTCCATTACATTCCAATAATGCCAACATGGGCAACTAGGCATTAACACATGGACCTTTGGGGGCATTCAAAATGCAAACCATGGGGGATGCAGTCCCGATAACTCAGGAGAGTTCCTCAGTGATCCCATTCTTCCTCTGGCTTTCAACACATCTTTACACTTGTCTGCGTGGGCTTCTCTGTTCCTGCTTCCTTGCTCAGTAGAAAGCTCTTGCTGTTTATTACTGTGTGTGAGGTTTTGATGCAAATATGGAAAGTTGGTCATCTCTCTTGCTTCAGCATATTTAAGGGTAACCTCATGGTGAGAATATTCCTAACACTCCTGTCACCGATGCTGCCTCATTAACAGGAAAACCCTGACTTCTGTTGACAAGGGATCTTGGGTGAGTTCTTGTGGGGACATGAGTTTGAATGCCTCCCCAGGAGCAACACAACTTTGTTGCCTAGAGCTAGTTAGTAGTCTGCCATTCCCCCAGCAATAGAGGGTTTACCACCACTTCTTCCCCAGGGACCACAGGTATTTGCTTTGGACCCAAAGGAAGAGAAAGTTTTTCCCTCATGGGGGGAACACATTTTGTTTCACTTAAGCGAAGGAATTCTTGTGTCTCCATAATACTGGATGGGGCTCTCTTACCGTTCCCACCCCAAATCTTTTTCATGAGGTGTTGTAGGTGGTTGATGGAGAACAGCTGGTGAGTGAATATGGACTTTCCTGTGTCTGGAGCTCACAGAAATTCTTTTTTGTTTTTGTTTTTGTTTTGTTTGTTTGTTTGTTTGTTTTTACTTTTTTATTTTATTTATTTATTTTTTAAATTTTATTTAAGAGGAAAAAGAGAAAAACACAAAACAAAACAAAGCGGTGTAAGGGTACACGTAATACAGAACTACAAAAAAAACATAACAGTAAGAAATCACTTGTTAATAGATTACATATTATTCTAATTACTGTGCTAGTCCACATTTGACCTTTGTCATACTTAGGGATTGCAAAAAGAACAAGACAATACAGGACACGTACTTTATAGTATTATTTTATAACAGTCATATAAGGAGTTAAATACTAGAAATGCAGGAAATCTGTCCACATACTAAGACCCAGATGAGGGCCTGGACCCCACAGCAATGTCCTGCACGAGTCCAGGTGAAGACCTAGAGCCATGACACTGCCCTCCACAAGTCCAATTGAAGGCCTAGAGACCTCAATAATGACTCATGCAAGACTGTTTCATGAATCTGCGTTGGGAAGGGCCAAGGTCAGCTGTGGAAGCTAGAAAGTCTGTGCCATTGGGATGAAGGGTCTGGGGCAGTCCATTGAAAGTTCTGCACTGGAGCCAGGAAGTGACACTCAAATTAAGAACCAGAGCTCCCCCGAAAAGTACCACAGCCATCCTCAGCAAGAGCAAGGTCCTGAGCTCCTCTGATGACGAGAACAGCTGAGTTCATATCAGGAAGCCCCTGTGACAAGCCTCTCCAGGAGACTGCACAGCACACCATCTTCCCCTCTAGAGCTAGGATGTGATGCTCAAAGAAAGCACTAGAGCTTGGAAGAAAAGATATTGGTCAGGCTCAAATATAACATGTGCCAGTACATCAATACCAATGGATGCATTTAATTTTTTGTTTGTTTTTTGTTTAGTGCAAGACTTAGAAGCCAGACACACTCTACCGTTGAGTCACATCCCCAATACTTTTCAGTTTTTACTTTGAGGCACAGTTTTGCTAGTTTTCCCAGACTGTGCTAACTCATGATCCTCCTATTTCTGCCTCCCTAGTGCTGGGAATCTGGGTGTGCACCACACACCTGAATTGCAGTTCATTTTTATTGGTTCACAGATGCATGCTGCCTGACTAGGTAAGTGTGCTAAGTTTTCAGAGAAATATGGCCTCCAGTTTTAATTACCAAGTGACTAAATGAGGTCCAGATGAACATCTGATGTCCAGATGTCCATTAGAACAGCAAGTCTCAGAGAAAGATGAGTTTAACATTTGTTTGGTGCGCAATGCATTTATAAAGGTCTATTCAAGTATTGACACTTCTTCCACCTGTCTACGGTTTATTCTGACACTGATCTTAAGCACACAGCAACTATGTCCTATTACACTTCAACATTTCATATATAAAATAAAAAATAAAAGTTATACCTGCAATGAAGGCCACAGGATTACTGTGAAAATCAAGTCAGATTTTAGACATGACAGTTTATTTGTCAAATGGAAAGCACTTTTTTCATGCTTGGAAATATTACTACATTTAGTGGTATATGCATAAGCTAAGCACCATGGTGTTTTTTCAATATTCATAGAGCCTCCAATAAGGAAATTTATTGTCTCTAAGGATAATGCCAAAATATGATTCCAGTAAAAACATTGCATAATAATAAGTAGCATTGCTGTGGCACTTGGATACAGAAGACTGAATTCTTTGGGGGTACAGACCGAGCTTTTCCAGTTGTACCTTGTTGTCTACACAGGGCTTGGCATTAACTAAGGTATCAGTAAGCATTTGTTGGATGAAAGAGCAAATGAAGAGATCAGATAGATAGATAGATAGATAGATAGATAGATAGATAGATAGATGACAGACAATAGATAGATAGGTAGATAGACAGATTTAAACCTTATATGAGTGTTAAAAATTGATCTTGGTTTTCAGTGCTTGAAATTTCTCTATGTAAGTGACCAAGAAAAGGAAAAAGACTAAAAAAAATCTTTATAATAAGCTTGGTAAATTCAATTGGAGCAGGTGCGGTGAGTCAACATTTTCACAATCCAATGAATAGAATGCTAAAAATAATTATTTAGTAACAAAGGAAATAATTAAGAGATAACAATTACCTAGAACCTAGTGGTTAGTCACTATCTTCTATCCTTATTACCTTCCATAAATACTTTAACGAGTGCTTTCTCTTACTGTGTCACTACACAGGAGCTCTAACAGCAAGTATCTCTGGTGTTACTGCTTTTTCACATTTCTTAGTGCCGCACTCCTCCAAGGAGCTCTTTGTTCTTGAGCATCTTAACCACCTTCCCTCTGCTACTGTTGGCCTACAATGATATAAACACACAGTTTCTGTTATCTCAAGGCAGAATTGGGAAATATCCATCCTCCCTTCTCATTGCTTCTCCATGACTACTTGACTGTCCTAATTTTGATTCTTGTCTAACTTCTCTGAAGAGCTGTCTTAATCTGTCATCTTCATTTTTTGACTTCCACTCTCTGGGTCTCCCTTCACACCTATCTCCTCTTCCACCACTGCTCTCAAAGGGCCATTAAGGAGGCTGTGCACTGCTTGGTGACCTCTTCTCTGGTCTACTTGGAAGATGCCCATTCACCTTCCAGTTCATGGCTCACAGTTCATTTCTTGGTTAATAAATTAAGAGCACTTCCAGGTGTAAGAAAAGAGACAAATATCTTAGAAATATATATGCTTATATAAAAATGTTTCTATAGCACCATATATATATATATATATATATATATATATATATTTATATATATATATATTTATATATATATATATACACACACACCTATATATACATATCTTTACTAGCAATTCATTTCAAATTAAGGAAGTAATAAATTTTAATATTTGGCTTATTTCATTAACAAAGACAGAGCTAATTGGTAATTGCAAGTGTCAATTTATTCAACTTTTGCTGATAGATAATCTACATATAAGAATTCTTAATTTGTAAATAGGTATTGTTAATAAAAAATTTAAAATTATCTGCTAAATGTCTATGGGGATTATTTCCAATGATAAAATTATGGATGATTTTTATTTTACTCTTTTGTACTTTCTAATCTTTAATAATCATACATTTGGTTGCGTTATAGAAGAAGCAGCTTGTATCAGGATATTAAATACATGAAGTATCTTTATTCTTGCACCAAATGAAGAACTGTCTGGTTTCATGTTTATGCCAAAGTAGCAAGGTTCTCCATTCAATCAGGGAGATTTTCCCATTAAAGTTAAACCTGTCTTTATAATTAGCTTTATTACATTTATTTTATTTGGTGGCCCAATATGAAAATATTCTATCTCATCCTTTTGGCTTTTTGAAACAATGCCTGTTCCCTCAGAGCTGGATTTCCAGTTGTATTCTTTGTATTCATTTATTTATAAAATGATATCCAGTCATTCCCTCAGCTTACACCTGCTGCTTTGGACAAATCATTCCCAATTCATAATATTACTTACTTAAATATATTTTCCCATCACACCATTATTACTTATATAACTTTTCTTTTCCTTTATTACTTTTCTTCATTGCCTATCTCACTGATTCTCTTTAAAATACCCATCCTCCTCAAAATGATTTATTACACAAGAGGGGAAATATTTTCAGATGTAATTTGCACTTGGCTTCAAACATAAGCTCTGATATTCACTAGCTGTGGAACTAAGGGCAAGTGACTAAGCCTCTTCAAGCTCAGTTTCCTAAACTACAAGCTGTAATGATTAAATGAGCTAAGAGAGGGTCACACAGAACAGTCACACAGAACAGTGCCCTATATAAGGTAATCACAAGAAAGTGTGAAGCTAACATTTGATATTTCATTCTTTCCATCCCAAGAGATTTTTTGATCACATGGCAAAAAGCAATATTATATTTCCATTAATTACAATAATTCTTGGAAGCAATGTGGAATCATTGTATGTATTAAGGCCAGGAGAAATGAATCACACTTAGAGGCTACCTCCTTGCAAACATGCTCTGCAGGGCACCTTTCACATCAGGGTTCCTCAGGCTGTAGATCAGTGGGTTCAGCATGGGGCTGATGACAGTGTTGAAGATGCCAATGCCCTTGTCCTTGTCTGAAGTGTCCACTGAGCCCAGCCTCATGTAGTTGAAAACACCTGTGCCATAGAAAATGCTCACCACAGTGAGGTGGGAACCGCATGTGGAGAAGGCCTTCTTCCTGCCCTCAGCAGAGCGGATTCTCAGGACTGCAGCTACCACATGGGCATAGGACACTACAATCAGCACTAACGGTGTCACAGCCATAAAGGCTGCTGCGATAAAGAGCAGTTGCTCATTAAGTTGGGTGCTGGAGCAGGAGAGCAGGAAGAGCTGAGGGAGGTCACAGTAGAAGTGATTAATCACATTGCGGCCACAGAATTTCAGGGTAGACAAGGCAACAGTATGGGCCAGTGCATTTGCGAGGGCACAGGCACCTGACATACCCACCAAGGCTTTCTGGATTGCCCAGCTCATGCGGGTGCTGTAGGTAAGGGGCTGGCAGATTGCCAGGTAGCGGTCATAGGCCATGACAGTCAGCAAAAAGCAGTCTTCCCCAGCCAGCAGGTGGAAGAAGAAGAGCTGTGACAGGCAGGCTCTATAGAAGATGCTCCTGTCTTTGCACAGGAGTTGCTTCAACAGGGCAGGAACTGTGACACTGATGCACCCAACATCCAGCAGGGACAGGTTCCCCAGGAAGAAGTACATGGGGGTGTGGAGTTTGGGCTCAGTGAGGATGGCAGCAAGGATGCTGAAATTGCCCCCGACAGTAGCTGCATAAGCAAGAAGGAAGATGACAAAGAGGATGGGCTGTAGGGCTGGGGAATCTGTGAGGCCCAGCAGGACAAACTGAGTCACAAACGAAACATTTCCTGAGGCTTCCAGTTTCATCTCTCTCTTCCACCCGCGGTAGACTGAGAAATGTTCAAAGACACTAATGGAGACTAAAAGCAAGTGAGGTCTTGACAACAACTTCCAAATATAACAGTGTCCAGGAGAGGCCAGATGTCAGAATACATATAATTAAAGGAACTAATTTTTAAAATTGAGAAGTAATAGGAAAGGACTTGATACATGTTCCTCTAATGATTGGAAACAATTACACAAAAAGACTGAAATAGAAGAGTTCATATATAATTCCTCAATTTGGGAAACAAAAATTTGGAAACAAAGGAGGAACAAATGTGGCATTTGAAAGTTAAGGGAAAGATGATTTTCCTGAAGCCAAGGTTCCAGCAAGGAACTTTGAACACAGTTACAGGGTCATAATCTGGATATATAAGAGCCTAGAGGATGAAAAATAAGCTTCAGAAGAAAGGGGAGCAATGGTTCCCCCAGCTTGTGTCCTCACGATATTCACAAACATGTGACATCAGGTGGTTGTTTTATAGCATCTCTAGTGGACTGGTGCCAGAAATCCTCAGGGACCAGTCTCTTCAGATGCTCCAGTCCTGTATGTGGAATGGCATAGCATATACATAAAACCTGGGAACAACCCTCCATCACATGAAATCAACTCTAGAATGCCCATCATACCTATCAAATATGCTTGCTATGGAAATAGTTGTTATCCTGTACTGTTTAGGGAATAATGACAAGAAATAGGTGTAGACATGTTTGATACAGATAGGAGTTTTCCCAAATGCTTTTAATCTCTACTTGGTTGTATCCATGATGTGGAAATCATAAGTATGACTGGCCAGAACTAAGTGATGACGGCACTGAAATTAACACTGAGACCAACTGTTAAAAGTTTACTTTGTGAAACTATGAGCCTTGGTCTACATTTTTCAGAAATACACAAAATGCAATGAAAAACAGTGAGATGAACTGAAGACTTATCATAGAAGAAAGTGCAATTCCAGAGCTGGTGACTACCAGCTTTTTAAATTTTATAAACAGTGAGATTGCGTTCATTTTGCCACACAGACTCTAGGAACTTGGATTCTCAAATATGGACATTTTACTAAATAAGAAGAATCTAAGAAGTGATTCGAGCAGGATGAAGTTTTTAAAGTCCAAGCTCCTGGCTGGTTGAGTGGATAACAGGTGCCTCACTGGGTGCCCAGCTGAATGCTTGCGAGAACTTGAATTTTAGCCCTTCACTCTTCTGTCCCCTGGTTCTATTATAGGTCATCTAAGCCGTGTACCAATATGGGCCTGATGATCAGAGAAGAGCCATTGACTACCCCGTACCATGATCATTTTCAGGATTCTTCTTAGGCACCAAATTGTCATTCTAATTAAATTCACAGTGATCTGCCTCAGCCTCTAGCTGAAAGATAAATACTAAATCACTCACAAGGAGCACAACTTACAGAGGAAGAGGCTGGAGTGGGAGCTCTCCAAGGACTAAAGTTAGGAGTAAGAGAAAACACTTCCTCTGAACAGTGTCCTCAAGGAGCAGAAGGGTCACCACCTCTATAGGATTCCCCTTTTCTATGAACAAGCTCTTACTGTTATCTCCAACCTGATGTTTCCATGGCTGAACTGCCCTTCTTCAATCTGACTTCCCCTTGATTGAGTTACTCTGCCCAAGTCTGGCCATCTTCAGTTCGTGGGGCTTGAAAATTCAGTCTTCACTGCCTCTTCTTTTCCTCCATTCTCTCACTGCACACAGCAAGTCTCACTGGGAATTTTGGGATGGAAGAGAAAAGCTCTTCCAGGGCCAAAGAGTGAGCTTCACATTTGTGGAAATCAAGTTGTAAGCCTGAAGCAAGGAGTCTTGAGTTGTCACTCACCCAGTCAAGGGAATACGCACTTCTATGGCTTACGGGAGGTATATTCTTGCCAGACTAATGATCTTCAGAGTAAGGCATTTATAAGTGACAAATAGACAAAGAGACAAACATCTTGGCTGACATCATTTTCACACTGGGATTTTTCTCATCCACATCATTATCCCTTGGTGGCCTCAGAAATTAGTGCCTTCCAGGGAGAAATGCTTTAGCTGCACACATAATGATCTCTAGCCCATTTAAAATAGTTCTAATTTTTGAAAAATGGTCCTAATTTTGACTTTCAAGCATATGACGATATTCATTCCTTTTTTCAATATGTATTCTTTAAGTAGTTCTGAGTCAGCATTCTTGTTGCGAAGCATTTCACAGAGTTGAAGTGAGTGTCAAGAGTCTTTCAGTCTAAGGATTAAAAAGATCCAAAATGCGTAATAGATATTGTAGTAATGAAAGGGAAGGAAAGTGCTCAAAGAAAACAACAACTTGTAGGTACACACATAAAACTGTGTGTATGTTTAAGTGTGCAAGAGAGATGACCATACTACTAAGTTTTTGATAGTTCATCAAACAGAATAGTTCATGTGGTCATAGTTTAACTGTTCATTTTTTATGCTTTGATTTTGTAACCTGAACTACTAGGTAATATATCACTATGTAATATATCAACACTATGTAGTGTATCAACTAGTGATGATTTCTTAACATTATTTTTTGAAATTCTAACATTGCTATCCTTTTTATATTTTACTTTTTAATAAAAAAAATAAAAATATTTAAAAAATTCTTTCAGGCTAGAAAGTCGCACAGTATTAGGAAAAGAGTTGAGACTGGGGATTTTTGGTTTATCCCAATGCATTGTTTTACGGCAGAAAGGAAGAGAGAGGAACACTGACTTGTGACTCTCTAGTGTTGCCAGTGGCACGTGTTGAGCGCGTGGTAGAACCCAGGACACACCTGCTTCCGTGTTACCTCTGAGGGGTGCCCTCCCCATCCTCCCACACAGTCACCTCATATCACAGCTTACCTTACCATCCCCAACCACGACCATGCTTCTAGTCTCCAACAAATGCCTTTTTCCTCTGTTCCTTCAGACAGTGCAGACCCTGTGGCATCCTGACCCCTAATATTTTCTTTCCTTATGTTTCCAACACAATCAATGAGACTAAAGCGTAGAGCACCTTCTGGACCAGGACCAACATACTTTTAGTAACTCCTGAGTGTGCCTGAAGGCATCAAGGGCAATGTGTGACAGTTGTTTACTCATTACTAAAGTGTCTTCCCCAGCTTAATAATGTCATGGTCCAAGGAGACGTGACAGAGAATTAGGATGAGTTGATATGTCTGTTGGTGGTGGCCCATGGAGCTGGACTTCCAGGTTACAGAGCTCATGTAGAAAACCTTCTTTCCCTCATATATCAAAGGCTGTATTTGCTCCCTAGAAAGTTTACATTTTGCACACATTGTTAACCCAGAAAATTCCATCCTTGAAGGCCAGCTATAGGTCTTAGGTCCTGAAAACAGTCCATGAGTCTCTGGGACTGGAAATATTCCTCCTTCTCTATTTCCAGAGCAATCTAAAAGTGAAGTGAGATCCCATCTTATCTTCATCCCAGACACTAAGCTGTTGGCTGTGATGTATAACAGTGCGTTGGGTTTTTCTTCCTGAATATACCACACCAACCTTAAGAAGTTCAAAATAAAATGCATCATTTTCCCCTTTGTACAAAAGGTGCACACAAGCACACCCTTACACAGAAAGAGTGGGAGGGGTAAGTGTGAGAAGTTCTGCTGTGATGATACTCATAAGGGTAGGATAGTTTAATTTGGTTCTTAACACAAGAGATAATTGTTACTTGTGTCTTCCGGGTCCCTGGATCCTGAGCAAGTGAATATAGTGGTCTTATTTTGCCTGGAGATAACAACACACCCATTTTCTTAAATGTGAGAAAGGCAGCAGACAATTTGAAGGCTGGAGAGAAAACACTGCACTCAAATTGCCTTAGCACATTCCCACACTTTCACTCTTTCCATTTTCCATAATCCATGAATTTTATTTTTCATAGCTACATAGCTCAATAAAAAATGTCAACAATGCCAGTGTAAATGGAATGAAAACCAAAAGTCCTCCATTCCCCACTGCCTTCCTGAATCCTATTCTCATCCATGGAAGTGGTCACTGCCCACGGTACTGGAGATGTCCTCTAGTATGTTCTTTTTCATATGCATGTCACATCACAGAACTGTCTAAATGGGGCAGTGTGCTGAATCATTTCATGTCAATACATGAAGCCATTTTTTTAAAACATGGTTTTATTAAAATTATGAAGCACAATTACTCATATTTGGATAGCACAGTTTAAAAGCTTTTCACCTTAGGACAAAAATTAAAGAAAGATAAACACTTTGTACATTTTACACTTCTTCAATTATTTGGTTTTGAGATTATTTTGTTTAAGCTTAGATTAATCAATGCATGCCAGGCATGAATCTCAGTAATGTCTTTGGACATGTAGGCTCATTAAATCCTCAAAAGCTCTACTTCATTTTTTTAAAAATTTGTATTAGGACATTTTTGCTGTATATAATGCTTACATGAGTTTGCAGTCTTGGAAAATTATAAGATTTCTCACTTTAGGGTTCTGTGCTAGCTGTTGTCAATTAAGTACTCACTTTAATTTTTCACAAGAAGGAGATAACTGGTATTTGCTTCAACAATTTATTTTATTTTTGAGGAAAAATGATACCAAAGTTTATGCAAAAAAATCAGGAAAGTAAGCCCTTACTATACAAAATTCAATCACTATCTTTATTAAGATGAAATTTTCTTTTTTTAAAAAAAATCTCTTTATCTATTTCTGCAATTCTAACACTGGGCCTTATAGAGTATTTTCAAGACAGTTAGAAGTGTTGCTGACATCCTACATAGGAAACAGGTTTGTTTACATAGGTCATTCTTTCTGTCATCTATTAATTCACAAGACTGAATATCCGATATCCACTCAGCACTACGGCAGGTATGTCTGGAAGACACATTAAAGGCAGCATAGATTTCTCCCTATGGATCCTATGATATAACTGGAGAGAACCGAAGAGCTTCAAGAGTGACAGTAAATATTATGATAGTTACTTGCTATGAGAGACAAGATCTTTCAGAAT